TCTCTCTCTCTCTCTCTCTCTCTCTCTCTCTCTCTCTCTCTCTCTCTCTCTCTCTCTCTCTCTCTCCTCTCTCTCTCTCTCTCTCTCTCTCTCTCATATATACAGACACACACACACAATAACGTACAGGGACCAGAGTCAGCAACAGAAAAAAGGCCAGCCAGGAAAAAGAATGGTGGCCAAGGACTTGGAGAAGAGACATTGGGAAGCTCACCTACCCGTGGATCCCACTCCCTCCTGGCACGAAGTTTGGCGCGTGCTCGCTGTCACGCTGTGTACGACCTTGCAGATCACCTCGTATGCACTTGCTTTCACATGAACACACATGCCACACTGCACAGAGTCAGATGCCATCCAGGCAGAAACACAAAAGGCACTGTGAGCGAGGAATCAGCAATGTCGAGAACAAGAGAAGAGAGATATGAGCGGGAGATCGGGAAGGGGCAAAAAGAGGAGCCAAACGAGGGGAAAGACGAAGGGATGAGAATAAAAAGGGTTGAGAAGGGCACAGCACGGGATAACTGTCGGAGAGCGAGGGAAGTAGGGGATGGACAGGGCGGGGTAAAAGCGGATCGAGGCTCCGTGACAACGCTGGGACGTGAGATCTCTCTGTGGGTGTGCGTGCGTGTGTGGGAGAGAGAGGAAAAGGCGAGAAGACACAGAAAAAAGGTGGAAAATAAGAGCGTATAGCAGCCACTCCTTTCGCCCCAATAACGATGGCAAGGACGCTCCATCTTCCCCACCCACGGCGTTACCAAGACAGAGAGAAAGGAAACAGGAAAAGAAAATGAGTGACGACGCTGTCCTCCGGTTCGAAGAAAGTAGTCATGAGCGTGCCTTATGAAGGAGGAAAGACAGTCGTCTTCCCGCAGAGCTCGGCTAAACGGCAGAGTCCTTTCAGCAGACAAAGCAAGCCGCCTTACCGTTTCGGTTGTTGTCAGTGGTACGAAAGAGCACACATACGCATACTTGTAAGATGTGGAACTATCCATCATCTCTCTCTCTCTCTCTCTCTCTCTCTCTCTCTCTCTCTCTCTCTCTCTCTCTCTCTCTCTCTCTCCTCCGGTTCGAAGAAAGTAGTCATGAGCGTGCCT